GGGATCGACGCAACCTAGCCCTGTGTTACAGTTTGTGTCTAGTTGTCCCCCAAAGCCTCATGTGGGCCGCTCAAGGAGCAGCAAGTGGCTTGAGGGGCGGGGCCTGAGGACCAAGGCGGAGCTTGAGGGGTGGCTAGCCTGTGCTTTCTGAGAGTTGTGGAGAGGGTCATCCTGGACATGGCAGTGCCCCAGCCTCTTCTGCAGTGTCTTGAAACCTCCAGTAATAGGGCCGGGGAGATGGCTCAGTAGCATAAGTGCTTCCCTGCCAAGTGCAAGGACCTGAGTTCAGTCCCCGGTTACGCAAAAAAGAAAAAAAAAGAAAGAAAGAAACCTCTAGTAACTGTGAGCTAAATAAACCTTTCCTTCTCTCACTTTGAGTGTCAGGTATTTGTCCCAGCAACGAGAGAAGAGAAAGACACCCTGTGACGGGGAGAGAGCTCTGAATTTGACCAAAATTCCTTGTATATCTCTTCTACAATTCATGAGCCTTGAGGTTAGTCCTAGATTTGAATGTTGGTTTTCTTGCTGTAGCACTGGTACTGAGCAGGTGGAGAGTGCTCTGCACCAAGGCAGAGGAAGGCATCTCCCTTTATTCTGTGGTGGGCGGGTGGGTGATCGCTCCCAAGGCAGCAGCAGTGAGGTGCCTTTAGAATTAGTTCATAGGTTTTGTAGGCAAAAGTATAGAGGTGCTAAAGCGTGGTGAGTTTCTATTGGGTGGTGCTGGTCAGCTCTCATTGCTGGGCAGAAAGTCCTTGAAACGAGTTAGTAGAACAGAAGATGCTTGTGGCCAGAAAGCACTGGGTGTGTAGCTACGAGTGGTCAGACTCAGCGGGGCAGGCTAGCTATAGAGTGCAGCTAGGAGGAGCCAGCCAAGGCCAGCTGAATCTAATTGTTGAGCTGTGTGGTGGGCTACAATATAATGCTTTGTCCTAATAGAGTAATCTGATTATCAGTTGATTTTTTAAAATTTTCATTGCATTTTGTGTCCTTTCCTGTTTGTCTTCGTGGCCATACGAGGGGCCAGCACCCATGTGAGCACCCACAGCCCACACAGTCCACGGGGACCAGCACGGCACCCGGCAGGGCCCAGGTCCCCACGCACACGCACCCCAGGCAGAGGCACAGGGAGGCAGGTATGGTTAGGGAGCGCCCGCCTTATTCCTCCTAGAGCTGGGCTTCCCATTATGTAACTGTGCCGGGTAGGACAAGTTCTTTCTACACCCTTGCTCACGCTGTTATTTTCCTCAGCCAGAGACGCCTGAGGGGAGCCGGGGCCTGACGGGTGAGGAGCAGTCACTGCCCCGGCACTGCAGGCCTGAGCCAGGGCTGGCTGCAGAGAGGAGCTCAGGCCTCTGCCTGGAGCGTGGGAAAAGATGGGGAGGGGGCGACACTGATCCCAGAGACCCCTGCTCTGCGAGCCCAGATTCCCAACAGCACACCGCTCTCCACCCATGGGCGCACAGACTCTGGACAGGTAATTACAGGGCGGCATCCAGGGTGGCTGGCGGCCAGGCCTGGGCTGAGGCCCGGGGAGGGGCGCAGCAGGCGCTGCTTCTGCCACCCTGGGAGCTCAAGCCATCTGAGATGAGTCGCCAGCGCCCTGGAGATCATCTCCTTTATAGCCTGTGCTTTTGGAGGCGTCGCCACTGCTGCATGGATGCTTCCCACACGTGCCGACACTCCTCGCTGAGCCCTGGAGAGGACACAGCACAGGGGAGGGCTCCACAGCCAGGGTGAGCCAGGGCGCCTCAGGGAGCGCCACGTACCTCGACTAGAGTGAGGCGCCAGGCCACTGAGCTATGGGCCACTCCACCCCCACGCATGAAGGGATCCCTGCATCTTCCCTCAGCCTGTCTCCCTGCCCCTCGCCAGCCCTGGTGGAGACCCGGGGCTGCCCCTGGCATCGGGTCCTGTGGTGCCCTGAGCCAGGCAAGAGAACAGCCAGAGGGCGCAGCAGCCCCAGCGCGCACGTCTGTGCCAAGCTGGGAGACTCGCGAGGGCTTGGGGAGTTCCGCTTTCCTTTCTGCATGACCAGAATTGGAAAGCTGCCGCTACAGCACTGAAACCCGACAGCGTTGCCCGGGCCTGTTCCACTGTCAGGTCTGCAAAGTAAGGGCAGCAGGACGGGCTTCTGGACTCAGCGTCCTGTGCTGTGCAGAAACAGCCTTAATGCCTGGCACACTCGGGCGCTCGGGAGACCCTGAGGGCATAGCTGGCAGGCAGTGTCCCCATGTCACTCTTTCCTCCTTGAGCAGAGATGGGTGCGGCATGAAGAACCAACCCAGGACGTGAGCATCAGAGCTCAGCATAGGGCCAAGGAAGTGCCTCTCTCCACAGGGCTTCTGGCCTGGGGCCTGCCCACTGATGCCAACGCAGACGCACTTATCAACCTGGAAGGTGGCATGCCATGCTTCTGGGATAACAGAGAACACAGTTCCGAGCATGGTAGCCACAGCCTGGAGAGGGAGCTCAGATTTCACCATGCTGGCCAGGGCCAAGAGAAAGATGGACGCTCAGACGGGGAGGGGAAGGAGTCACCATGTCGTGCCCCAGGTCTCAGCTGCCAACTGGGATGCAACGCAGGGACTGCACAGATGAAGGGTTGCTCTGGGTCCTGTGAGGCCCCTGAGCCAAGGCCTGGTAGAGGAGCTGTGGGGACCACTGCAGGGATGCTTTCTGGAGGCTTCCCTGGATTTGAACTCGGTGTCTGCACGAGTTTCAGCCCACGATGAGGGCTGCCACGCTCCAGCTCGCTTTCAGAGTGTAGGCCAGTTGCTCTGCCTGCACTCCAGCTGCAGAGCCGTCCTCCTAGAATGGAAATCCGTGCTCCCCTGTCCACTACTGCTCACGCTTTGCTGTCTTCCTTTCTTCCTGGAAGGTGCTCTGTCCCATTGCCCATGCAGCATGGATCCTGGACACGTCCTTGTCCTTTCCTTGAGGCCAGGGATGACAAGTTCCCAGCTACTTCTGGACTTCAAGACCCACTGACTGACAAGGACAGACTACTTTTTTTTTTTTTTTTTTTTTTCTTTCAGAACCGGGAGATGGCTCAGTGGAATGAGCGTGTCCCTGGCAAGCATAAGGGCCTGAGTTCAATCCCCAGTTCCGGGGGGTGGGGGGGATGCTGAGTGGAAAGCCATCCCAGTGTCATGCACTTGCGATGCTCCCAAGCCATCTGCCCAGGCAGGTTCAATCCTGTTTTCCTCTCTCCCTCTACCCTTTCTTTGGCTTTCCAGCTGAAAATTTACTGCCTGGCTGCAAGGCCAGCTCCCCAGGGCCCTCTAGGCTGTCCTCATCAGTGTGTGTGTGTGTGTGTGTGTGTGCGCGCGCGCGCGCACGCGTGCGCACCCCCTCCTGCAGGTGCAACTCCAGCACTGCAGAGCTCTCCGCTCCCAGCCTTAAGCTTTCTCCAGTTGGGGCCTGCTCTTCCTTGAGCGGAGCCCCCTGTGCCAGGGCCTCAGCCTCCCAGCTGGTCAGAAGCACTCACCAAATGAGTCTCGGTGCACTAATGCTCCTGTGTTTCTGAGGGTGAGTGCCTGGTACCCTTGGTGCCCTACGCAATGCCGTGCTAGGGATCCCGGGGCCCTCCCTCCCTGTGGTTGCAGCATCTTTCTTCACAGGGATTTTATTCCTGTCCTTTTACATTGGTGGTCCTGGCCTCACATCAGTAGGGGTCCTGGCCTCTCCCTTCTCAGGGCTTCCAACATCTCAGGTTTGTGGTGAGATTCATCCCAGTGTGGCTTCCAGCTCGCTAGGGGTAGGGTGGTGGCCCACCCATCCCCTTGATACTGTTAAGGGTCTAGGGCTAGTGCTTCCCATGTTCTTGGCTTCCCAAATAAAGGTTGTAGCAGGAAATTCAATGATGAGAATGAGATTCACTACAAGCCCAGAAGTAAGAATGCACCCTTCGGGATGTGAGCTGGCTAGTGAGAAGAGCTCGCGGCCCAGGAAGGCACTGGGGCTCTTAAGGTCTTGGGATGACAGAAGGTCCACAGTCGAAAACTTACAAGAGTCTTGGTCTTGTGCAGTTACGCACTCCCCAACCTGTCTGGAGGGGACTCTCTGACTGCACAAGGCTTCTGTAAGTGACATGGCATCCAGAGCCCCCAGACAAAGGTTGCTGGGTTTGTTAACACATCAGTGAAAATGAGGTTGGGTACAGGCCTGGGTCATGCACTTGGCTCTGTGAACTTAGGACCTTGTGCTGCCAGGCAGGTGCTGGGTCACTGAGCTATGTTTCTGGCCCAAAGGGAAAAACAATACAGGACACATACTTTATAAGATTATTTTATAATAGCTATACAAGAGAGTGCAAGGAATCTTTCCATATACTAACACAAGAAGAATCTAGTGGAGGGCCTGGATCCCATGGCAGTGTCCTGCATAAGTCTAGCTGAAGACCTAGAGCCCATAACAACGCCTCCCGTGAGTCCAACTGGAGGCCTGGAGCCCACGACAGTGTGTCATACAAACTGGGAAGGCCCAAAGGTCAGTGGGAAGCTAGCAATCTGCACCAGTGGAATGAAGGGTCTGTGGGAGCAGGCTGCATGATCTGCACTGGACCAGGAAGCGACACGCATAGCAAGGACCAGAGCTCCGCCAAAAAGTACCACAGCCATCTTCCATGATAGTGAGGTCCTGAGCTGCTCAGACATCGAGACCAAGTCCACATAAGGAAAGCCAGCATGACAAGCTTCTGCAGGAGAGTGAGCAGTGCGACAGCTCCCCTCTGAAGCCAGGAAGTGATTCTCAAAGTAAAGCCCAAAGCTTCCCCAAAGTGAACTGTAGCCATTTTCAGTGACAAGGTCCTGAGCTTCTGACAATGAGAACAGCCAAGTTCATCCGGAGAGTTGGCATGACAAGCTGCTCCAGGAAAACCAACAGCTCCCCACAAAATCTCCTTTTCATGTCACTGGCAACAGTCGTCAGGTGGGCCTCCCACACCCGGCACCACGCTGGTTCCGTTCAGCTGAGTGTAAGAAGTTGAAAACTTCTTAATCCACCACACTTCTCCTTTTCCCTCACTCATGGGGATGTCCAAGCCTCGCCCCTTAGTGACCTCACACATAGTGACCAAGACTCCTTCATGGCAAGCATGAGGCTCCAGTTTCTCAACCCTCAGTGGTGCGGTTACCTCCAACTGCATACAAGTGTGGGATTCTGGCCTCTGACAGCAAGGGTCAGGTTCTGAGCTCTCACTTCTTTTTTTTTTTTTTTTTTTGCGGAACCAGGGATTGAACTCAGGCCCTCAGGGAAGCGCTCATTCCGCTGAGCCATCTCCCCGGCCCCGTGAGCTCTCACTTCAAAGGCCATGCAGAGTCAGCTTTTCCATTCCTGGGACAAAATACCTTAAGCTGAGAAGGACATTAAAGGAGGAAAAACAAATTTCAGCTCACAGTTTTTCAGAAGACTTTGGAGTAGTTGGTTCCACAGTAAAAAGGTGTGTCTAGCCCATGGCAGCTGGGCAGCAGAGAGAAGCCAGGACAGAACTCATGGACAGCCTTCCAAGTCATCTTCTCGGTGCCCAGGCCCACCACAACCAATGTGTCCTCCTGCAGTGCAATCAGCTGCTACCAACACCAGCCACTATCCCAGCAGTGAGCAGCCCGCCCAGGGACGTAGCACCCCACAGCCCAGTCGCCCTCCCAATGCTCTGTCTAAACAGAAGAGGCTGGGGGCATTTGGTCCAGCCTCTAACCTCACGTGGTGGATTCTTGCCCTGACCTCTGATGCCGGGCTCTGAGCCCTGACTTCTGCACATGGCACCAGCCCATGTGAGTATGCATGGCTGGAGGTGCCAGTTGGAGAGCCTCCAAATCCCTGAAAACCACTCAGGCACCATAACCCTCACGACCTGAATGTCACGGGTATTTCTTCCAGCAATGCTGACAGGGTGCATTGCTGACCCAGCTGGCCACTGACCATGGGTGCAAACAGTGAATTGGCAGTTTGTGGAGGTGGACGGTTCACTCAGGCTCTCCCTGGGTTTCAACAGGAAATACAGAGCCCCTGCCTGTGTGGGTGTCCCCACCGGTGCCCGTGGCTATTCCGGACACACAGGAGCTGAGACCCTAAAATTGTTCATCAAGGGGATGGCACAAGTAGCACCAGAAGGACAGAGCTGTGAAGACAGGACCATGAGCTTGTGAAAGCTTGGAAAAGAGGTCGGGCAGCTACACCGCCGCCCTAGAGGCCTCACGGTGCCATAGTGTCTCACAGTCCTGATGAAGCAGGCCGGGAGTGGTAAAAGCGGGCTCAGCACAAGGTTTTCCAGCCCTGGCATGGGCAGAGATTTCCACACGAGGGCCCTTTGTGCTCTTGGGATCACGACTGCATATTGGGCTGGGCCTAGTCCCAGTCTAAGTGAGTGGACAGTGAACGGCTCAAATAATGAGACCAGCAGTATGGCTTGGCAGCATCCAGGAGGTCAGTACTCTCTTAGCAGTAAAGACAAAGAGCTCCACCACACAACCCGTATTTATGTGGATTGCAAACAAAGGAAGGTGATACTGAGGCACTGTAGGAACGGAGCAGAACCTTGGAAGTTAGTTTGCCATTGAAGGGAACTGCTTGACCTCTAAGGTCACCAGCGTCACTGCTCTGGACTAGTCCCTGTCCTCAGCTGCCTCAGCTGTGGTTCTGTCCTGACATCAGAGCACCGTGTGCTCTTTTCCAATACAGCGAGAGGTCCCTGTGCCCAGCAGCTTAACCCCACACAGCCAGTCTCCAACAATCCCTCCTATTTGTTTTTGTGATTACAGCAGTTGAAACACTCTGACTTGAAGCTGAGCAGGCCTTGGCCATTTGCGGCTTAGTATCTCCTGTAGCCGACTAAGAAGAGAAACGAAAGACACAGCTGTCGGCATGACCGACCCACGTAAAGTCCAAGACAGGTCTGCTGCCAGCCGACCTTACCACCGGCTTGAACATCTCTCTCTATGGCCACATGTTCTGGGGTGACATCCATGATGGTGCTGTGTGACCTGGTCCTGTGCAAGCATACCCTTGTCCCCGTGTCATTAACCATATTGGACCTTCTTGCTGGATGTCTTTTTGTTAATGAAGCTCTGGTAGAATATGTTTATCTTACAGGTTTATAAAAGTTTTTCTTTTTTTAAGTATCAAGGCCCAATTGTGATTGTGGGGTGCAACCCCACTCCCCTTTTGGCTAATTCAATTGATTTTTTTTTTTTTTTTTTTTTTTTTTTTTTTTTTTTTTTTTTTTTTTGTGGAACTGGGGATTGAACTCAGGCCCTTGCGCTTGCCAGGGAAGTGCTTATTCCACTGAGCCATCTCCCTGGCCCCTCAATTGATTTTTAATAGATTGATGTGCTTTTTTATTAAAGGTTGGCCTTTATGATTGTATTTTTGGTCACAATTGTCTTTTGTGCTAAACACCCACCCCTGACGAACTACCTGTAGCATTTGTAACTAACTATACTAGACTGTCCTTATGAAGAGGACAGTACTGCCCTTCTGAAGAGCTCTCCCTAAGTGTGGTAGTTTCCATCTTACTTGCTTCGAGCTGAGAAAGTTGGCTGTAAAGGGAGACAATAGTCAGGGACTCCCTCCAGAAAGCTAATCTGATGGCCTCAGATAGAAGTCTTGTTGTACTTCAGCAGTTTTGAATTCTCTTTACAAGGTTGATCTGGTGGATCCCAGTAGAAGGAATCTAGGATATTTATTGTTGGTTCTATCTGTGTGATCTCTTGGAGTTTGGCAGCTTCTAGGCAAAAATAAATATTTTTTTAGAGATTAGAACATGTGTAATTAAAGCATGAACACTGGAGTGGAAAAGCAGGCTTAGGAAAGAGCTTAGTCTAGATAATATTTTTATGGAACTGGAATAGTGATTACAAGTCACTGTTAGATCTTTCTACTGATGGAGTCTGATATTTTGTCACACGTCTCTAATTTTAGTTGATCTCACTTAAAGAATGTTTAAGGGTTTTTGTTGAGCTTGTATGACTTTTATTGTAATTTCTTCTTAATGATCTGTAACAGTGGTCCAGTGTGATGTAGCTGAAAACTATCAGAAGGGGTTAGTGATAGGTGTCCCTTCCTTATGGCTAGCTTATTACGATGACATTGGTTTCTGTATTTTGGTTATAGTTTTCCGCTGGATGTTCAAGACTAAGTCAAAGTGAGACCTGTATTAATTACAATTAATCTTGTACAATCTATCAAGGTCAGTTAAGTCTCCTCAGGATTTACCTTGGAACCATGTAGAGCACCTCTCCATTCTTCTGTCAGTGTCAGCTGTCTGGATGATTCATGGTCATTGCTTGATCAAGTTGTTTTCTGTGAAAGCTTGGGAGACTTTTCCGTCTTGGTGACTCTTCTTAGCCACAGTATGCGCTGTTGGCCGCTTTCCTCTGTGGTCCAACACTCTCCTTGGTAAGGAGATCAGAGACATGCTGAGATAGGATGTTGCAGAAGAGGCTCTCTCATGTCCTGGGTCCTCTCTGACCTCAGAGGGCCAGGCCTAAAATACTGGCTGTCCTCAGAGCCCATCCATTTTTCTAGTTTTTGGTCTCCAAAACTTGGCTGTTGAACACCCAAAAGAGATTAGTGAAATTAGCATTGCAATGGAAGCCATAACCTCAATTATTTTGTTAGCTGAATATCAAGTACTTTCAAATAAAAGTATAGCCAGAGAATTATTTCTTACCAACCATGGATGTTCTAGTAGTTGAATCCCTATTGATGTTAACAGATACAGTTCTATAGTTTTACAGAGAAAATTTGAGATCAAAAGCCATATATAATATTGTAACATGACAATCATGATGACATTTCTGTAACAGATGTAAATCTCTATCTTGGCATAGAATAGCCTTTTAGTGAATCATCTCTGTCCAGATCTCCCGCAATGAAAAACTTTTGTCTCACTTGTTCTTTGGTGCAGTGTCATAGAAGAAGTTTGTGATGTTCTTTGGACCGTTTTATATCTAAGCACCCCTAAGTGTAGTGCTACTTAAATGGCATACACATCACATGTTTTTGTTAAAGCAATTATTATTTGATTGGTGAACTCTGACATGAGCTTCCCGTCACAGTAGCAGAAGCACAGATGTCTGAGTCTGAAAGAAAATACCTACCATCATTATCAATACAAATCTTACATTTTAGAAGACCTGTACATCTGAAAGCATTAATATATAATACTATGAGACTAGTAATAATGAATTGGCATAGCCATATGAAAACTCCTGTTTCTTAGTTTTGTCCTAATAGCATCTTTTAATGAGAAAATCTTATTGTTTTATTTCTAGAAAACTTAACCTTTGGACAGTGCCAAGTGTAAACATATAATCATATTTTTAGTGACAAGCATCTCATAACAGCTTATGGAGACCACTGGGATCCCCATTAATGAACAAGGATTGGAGAATTATTTCTAGGCAACTGCTTCCTATTCTCTAATGGGAGTCCTGTCTAGCAGCTTATCCCTAGGTTAAGAGATTTTTGTTTAATTATGCTGACACATTTTTGATGATCTATGAGAACCAAATCATAAAAATCAACACATTTTTGCATCAGTGAAAGGTTCCTGAGTTATTATACACAGGCAATAATATGCATTACATTTATAAAATCACCCTTAATGTCATTTTGATCTGTTGGCAACCTGGGTGGAAGCAGGTCTTTAATTTTAATGACATTTACCTATTAGCCAAATTAAATTATAGATAAGCATTTTTAAAAATCCCAAAATGTGGAAAACAAGAAATAAAAATGTGTTGAGCTTCAATAAAACAGTTGTTTATATTTTTCTTTTTGGTACCAGGGATCAAACTTGAGATCTTGTGCTTGCCAGGCAGGCACTTATGCTGTTGAGCTGTCTCCCCAGCAACAGCTATTTATTGATTAAACAGACAATCAATCAAATACACATAAGACAAATTGCTTATTAAATCAGAGTGCAATAAATTATATTTTGGCCAAACTGAATTGTAATAGTTGTTTTATAAGAAGGTGCTGCTGTGGGGCTGGTGAGATGGCTCAGTGGTCTAAAGCACCTACTTAGAACAAGCTTAGGAAAGCACAGGGACCGCGGTTCGATCCCCCAGCACCACGCCAGCCAGCCCCGCCCCCTGGTGGGCTGAGCTGGCCACACACACACACTGGGCCATTCCAGCCCTGTGACAATCATCTGGGCAGATGTGGAGCCCAAGATCTGGGTGGGTTTTTGTTTTTGTTTTTTTTTCAGAACCAGGGATTGAACTCAGGCCCTTGTACTTGCCAGGCAAGCGCTTATTCTACTGAACCATCTCCCTGGCCTCTGTCTTTTTTTTTTTTTTTTTTTGTAGAAGGTTTTTAAGTGGTGATAGAACACTCATACAGAAAACATTCCCTTCCTGCCATCTCCAGGGCCCCGAGCAGCAGGTGGCAGCTATTCTCCCTTGGGCACCAGCCACGGGTCCTCTGCTTCTTCTGACCCGACACTCTTGCCCACCATCAGCTCTGCACTGCACTCCGCCCCGCACCAGGGAACCACCACTGTACTTCGCTCAGCCTGACTGGAGCACGTACTGCTTTATGCAGCACAGCCCTCACTTCCCCATGGAGGTGCAAACAAGTGTGCCATGAAGGCCTGTTTCACACCTAGACGAGTGGCACCAGGGGCCCAGCAGGAGCTGGGGTGATTTCCAACGCCCTGATGCTAGAGACCAGTGGGACGGCTGCATCCATGATGGGGGTGGGGCATTATATACCCTCCTGAGCCAGCAGCACCTCTGTCCCTGCCACCATCAATTTCACCCCTCACCACTGGCAATGGTACCTGTGTTCCAGTAACAGCTACCTCTGAGGGACATGAAGGTGGATCCGGGAGTGCATGCCTGTGCAAACCCTGCAGCTCAGGTGCACAGAACTTGGGCGGTAGTTGCCACATCTGCACAGGTGTCGATCCTAGGGCTGGACATTTGCTTTTGAGAAGGGCACCTGCACAAGTGAGAGGCTGAGAAAAAAGGCTAAGGGAAACAGGGCTAGAGGCCGTGGGGCCGCAGCAGCTCACCACTCACCTCCCTACACAGGGCCTGGAAGCCACAGGCCATACCCCTCCACCTCTTGCCCTCTGTCCCAGCCACTGGGGTCTCTGTCTCCACACTCAGGATGTGCCTGCCTTGGCAGCTTCCTGCATGTGAACAGCAGGCCAGGGCAGCCAGCCAGCTCCTTCCTGACACAGCCCTCTTCCCAGAACATTGTATAAAGAAACACGGCCTCAGCAGCAGCCTGGCTCAGGGTCAGCATACCAACTCTGGTCAAGAATTTAAGCCTCTGGACTTTGGAAAGTGGCCCTTGGCTCATGAGGTAAGGGAGGTCACGATGCAGGGCTAATGAAGCGTGTGTCCACAGCAGAGTCTCACAGGGGTAAGTGGGACATGGCCACGTAATCCTGTGACCAGCTTGTATCCTCTCGGTGGCTCCCGGGGTAGGTGACAGCCTCACACATTCCCCATATTAGCCAAGGGTCCCCTCAGGGTTCTCAGCCACTGCACATTTACTCTGAGTTTTCCTGATCTGCACCTGGCAAGGCTGTAAGACAGTCTCAGAGGCCTGAGGAGGGAGAGCTGCTCAGTCCCCAGCCCCTGTTCCTCATGCTGAAGGCCACTCCTGGGGACGCTCATGGTCTGCTGAGGCTGGAAGCAGAGTGAGTCCCAATGTAAGGGGACCCAGGAAGGCCTCTGTGCAAAGCTCACTGTTCTGATGGCAGCCAGGAAGGGAGGGGCCTTGAAGAGTCTGTCCTCAACCTGCTGATGTCACCCCACCTTTCCGCCACAGGCACCTCAGCTCCGGGTCCTGGTGGACTGGGGGGATAGTGTCCCTAAGCTCCAGATGGAGAGTGTGACACAGCCATGTCCACCCCTTGAGAGCGGCAGTGCTCGGCAGGGCCACACACTGAGAAGCCCTGTGTGTGAGGGAACAGAGTGCTCTGGGGACATTTAGTTTAAGTGGACCTGATGGCGCTGCTGGTCACAGGACAAGGGCAGGAGATTCACGAAGCGAGAGACAAGAGTGAGGCCCCGAGTGCACAGGAAGTGGCCTGTCAGGCTGGGCACAGGAGGTCAGCCTCGGCCCGCCACAGGGCAGTGCACTCCTGCTCAGCTTCTGTGGCTCCGTTGTCGATGTCATGCCTAGACCGCACAGGAAGGCAGCGAAAGGGGCAAGGTCAGC